CAGCATATTTTTGAACTTTTTGTTCCAGCACCTGGGTGCCTGTTTCAACCCATATAGGCTCCGTTGAAGTTTGCATACTAATTGTGTTCCATCTTCGTAAACTTTTGGCTGTTTCATATAAATGTCTTCTTCAAGATCTCCATATAAGAGCGCTGTTTTAATATCAAATTGTCTGTGTATTAATTTCTTGGCTGCTGCTATCGCAAGTAATACTCGAATTGAATTGTATTTCACTACTGGGCTGAACGTTTCTTGAAAATTTATTCCATGAACTTGCGCACATCCCTTAATTACTAATCTTGCTTTGTACCTATCAACATCTCCATTTGCTTTGTATTTAGTCTTGTATATCCAACCATTATTGGTATGTTTTTTATTTTGGGGCAAGTCCACAAGAAGTGTCCATGTTAAATTTTTATTTAATGACGACATTTCATCATTCATTGCTGTCTTCCAATCATCTGAATTGTCGCCTGTCATAGCGTCTTCATATGTAACTGGGTCATTACTTGCTGAGAAAAATGCATCCCTATACTTAATAGGTTTATTGAGTTTTCCTTTGTCTCTGAGTATCATCTGTTGTTGATCCTCTACTTCTACTGGCATCTGTTTATCATCGTCCAGTTTTTCTTCCTTGTTCTTCTTCATTTTGATTTTTACTTCTGTAGCTGTTGATGGGTTTACTGACTCTTCTTTGAATATGACATCTCAGCTTAATGAAACTTCTTTTCCATCAAAGCATATACGATATCCTTTCGTCTCCTCTGAGTATCAAACGAAAATACATTTTCTTCCCTTCTGATCCCATTTTCTTCGTTTTTCTTTTGGAATGTGTGCAAAGACTTCACTACCAAATATTTTTAGATTATTTATGTCTGGTTTTTTATTGAACCATAATTCATAAGGTGTTTTTCCTTCTTGACCTGTGTTTCCTGTACGATTTATTGTATATACAGCTGTATTCAATGCTTCTGCCCAAAGTGTCTTAGACAAATTATTGCTGTATACCATAGTTCTGGCTGCTTTTACAATTGTTCGCATTGATCTTTCCGCCTTCCCATTTTGCTGAGGTGTGTATGGTACACTCGTCTCATGTTTTATTCCAAATTTATCCAATAAGGCTTTTACTTCAGTATTTTTCCCGACCACAATCACTTCTCAAAGTAGTTACTGAGATATTTAGCTGATTTTTGACTGTATTTAAAAATAGTTCAAATTTATTTTTAACTTCTGATTTTTGGCTCATAAAATACACATACGTATAATTGGAATAATCATTCTTGAAAATAACAAAATACCGTTTACCTCCATGGGTCCACATACATCACTGTGAATTAACTGACCTTGTAGTTTTAGTAATACTCAGTGTGGACGGCTCTCTGTGTTGTTTGCCATAAACGCACGCTTCGCAGAAAAACTTGTTTTTTGTTTCTGTAAATTGAATTCACATATGTTTCAAGTAGTTTCGAACCAATTGCGCCTAAAACCAAATTTGTATTTTAGAGTCAGTGTACCAATTGCGCTTCTTATATTTTACGGTTAGTATACCAATTGCGCTCTTTATATTTTACGGCCAATATACCAATTGCGCTTGTATTCAAATTTGCCTGATATTTATAGATCAATTGATTACTACTTACTAGCTAAAGTGACTGGTTTTAATATATTTTATAACAGTATCGGGAATTTTATGAAACATTATTATTATCACACACATATTTTGATCACGGAAGTATGCATTTGAGTGATGTACGAAAACAAGTTTTCATTATCATCGGATAAATTTTATCGGCCTAATTGTGTCGTTGCACACAATATACAATATATAGAATAACACATCGATGTTACCCAATACTTATGTCTTATTAGTCTCTTGGTATTAGTTCGAGTTGTTTTACGTTACAATATGGATCGTTTTACAAAAGCTCTGAGTGAAAAAAGTAAGCCATTATTAGTTTTAGATCAGTTTAAGTTTCAAAAATGTACTATCTCAAAAAACGGAATAAAATGGAGATGTACAATTAAATCGTGTACTTCGAATTTTTAAGTGATCTAAAGTGAAACAGTACTTTTAAAATCTAACTTTGATCATAACCACGAAGCAAGTGTCAATATAAATAGACAAATTGTTGCAAATTCATCAAAAAGAAAAGCAATAGACCAAGTTACAACATGACCGCTAAAATTAATTCGGAATGAAGTGCAATCAAGTGCGTTAGATTTGACACTAAACAATGTTCATTTTATACGACGAAGCGTTTATCGCGCTCGTAGAAAAACGCTACCACCATTACCGAAAAATGTAACCGAAGTGCATACAGCATTAAATAATTTGGATACGAATTCATACAAGGGTGAGAATTTATTGCTTATAAATGACAATATGTTGAATATAATATGTTTTTCTACAATATCAAATTTGGAATTTTTATGTAGTTGTGACAAAATATTCGTCGACGGAAAATTTGAATTTTGTTCTAAATTTTTTTATCAACTTTTTACGATACATGGTTTGAAAAATGGTCACTATATTCCACTTATATTTTCTTTACTGCCAAACAAGCTGTCAACCACATACGAATATTTATTTCGAGCTTTGATTGGTAAATGTGCAACATTCAATCTCGATTTTAATCCAAAAACAGTTTTTGCCGATTTCGAACAAGCTATACATTTTGCATCTAAACAAGTCTGGCCTTCAATATTTCTAGTGGGATGTAGATTTCATTTATCTCAAGCTTGGTGGAGGAATATTCAAAGTTGTGGACTACAAACAGAATATAAAAACCCTAATTCTGAAGTAGGAAAATGGCTGCATTTAATTTTTGGTCTGTCGCTTTTTCCACACGAAGAAGTGGAGGATGTGTTTGTAGAAGAAATAATGACGATTCAACCAATTAATTCAAATCTAACCAAATTTACTAATTATATTGTTGAAAACTATATATCATCTAAATCTACATTTCCCCCGATACTATGGGCGTCTAATTCAATAAGTTCTGAACGTACAACTAATGCGTGTGAAGCTTTCCACGCTTCATTTTCTAAAAACTTTTATTCTCCCCATCCAAATATTTTTGTATTTTCAAAAGTAATAATTGAAATTCAGACTAGCACGTATATTGCAATAAATAGTACAGAACATGATAAATATATTTCAAATAGAGCATATTTAAAAAAAAAATTTACAATCAATTCTTATATCGAGAAATACAAATCTGGCGAAATTAGCAGAAGAGAATTTTTAAAAATTGTGTGTTATTATTATTGTAAAAATTGACGATCAAAATTGTAACTGATTATTAGTGTAAATATTCATTTATTTTTATATTATTTATATTTATAATTACATTTTTTTGACGTTCTAACTTGTGACCGGTTAGTATATTTATTAATTTATTTGTATTATATATTTTTTTAAATTAGCATGTTATTATTATACCCTGTGGTGACTAAATGAATTATTTTAATATTTAATGTAATTGCCCTGTTATACTTATGTTTATATTCTCCTTTCCTTGTAGTGAAAAAATTTATTATTGAACAAATATATTATTCTGTAAACTAGCCAAATTATATTATTCTAAATTGTAATGCCATGTTCAAACTATTATTTAAAAAAATATTATTATTATTAAAGCATGCAAAATATTTGCTACATACTATATGATCAAATTTAAACCTTGTAAAAAATCGGTTAATATGTAATAAAAACCAAATATATGTACATATATTATGTATTTAATCAAATAATAAGTTTTCCTAAGGTAATGTAAAATTTATAGAGCGCAATTGGTCTATCGACCCTAAAATTTTTAGAGCGCAATTGGTATATTGACCCTTAAATGTTTAGAGCGCAATTGGTATGGGCGTAGCCGTTTTCGGCCAAAATGTACCCTTCCCTTTTCGGCCAGTGTCACTTATCGGCCAAAAATTACCGTTCCCTTTTCGGCCATAACTTATCGTTCCCTTTTCGGCCACTGTCACTTTTCGGCCAGTACCTACAGTTTTCTTTAAAATTTACGAANTGGCCGAAAAGGGAAGGGTACATTTTGGCCGAAAAGGGGGCCGCCCATTGGTATATCGACCCTAAAACGTTTAGAGCGCAATTGGTATAAGAAAAGGTAATTTTAAGCGCAATTGGTAAACTCCCGTTTCGAACATGTTGAACATTCTGATGACTTAGAATTTCATGCCACTGTAGTAATGTGAGATTTTTAACTGCAATATTTGCTTGATCAGCCTGTTGTAATGGTCCTATTCTCATTTCTCAGAACCATTGAAAACATTTTATTCTCACGAACTCCTATAGCAACTATACGATTGTTTTTTTTAAATATACAGCCGTCACTGTCTGTCACCATTTTTATACCTTTTTCAAGGCATGCTCCATACGAAAACAAATTTACCTTAAGTTCAGGTACGTGTAAAACATTCGACAAATGACTGACAACCCATTTATCACCGATTTTTGCTTGAACATTTATATTACCTTTACCAATAGCCATAATATATTTACCATCACCAATACGTACTGGTAATTGAGTTTCAAATAATTCATAGTTGGTGAACCATTCTTTTCGACTGGTCATGTGATCACTTGCACCTGAATTCACATACCATTTTTCTGACTCACTGATTTCAATGTCCTTTGATTGTACTCCAACCAACGCATTTCCTGAGTTTGATTCGCTCTTATTTTTTACTTTTTGTTCTTTTAAGAAAATCCGGCATTCACATTTCCAATGCCCTGTTTTTTTACAATGATTATACTTGCCTGGTTTTTTATCATTGTTCCGTTGGTTTTCAGAAATACCAATTTTTGTATGTTTTTCTTTATTTGTTCCATATGATTTCTTTGCTGAAAATGCACTACCTGCAATATCTCTCTGAACATCATGTCCTTGAGTTTGCCTTGATTCTTCCACCATGAGTCTAGATGTCAAGTTTGTTAAAGTTTTATTCTCACTTGACATTGAATCCCAAGCACTATAAAAATGTTTATAAGTGTCTGGTAACGTCATTAGAATCTTTGTCATCAGCATTGAATCAGATATTGGTTCTCCTGATTGTGCCAATTGCTTACTTAAATTTTCTAGTTTTGATATGTGACCAGCCATACTGTCTACGGGGTCCATAACATAACTATAGAATTTTTCTTGTAACAAAGAAATGCTTGTTGCAGACTTCTGTTCATATATGCTGAGCAATTTGTCCCACATTTCCTTTGCTGTTTCACAGTTCATAATATATAATAATGGCTGTTCGTCTACAGATGTTACAATATATTTTTGAGCTTTATTGTCAGCTCTTTTCCAGACTGAATAATCAACACCATACCTTTTTCTTGCATCATCTTCAGTTTCTGAACTTGATTTTGTAAGAACAGGTTTTTTCGATTTTCAGGTCACAACGTCAAATATATCGGCTGCATTCATAATGACTCTCATTTGAAACTTCCATTGTTACCAGTTTTCATTGCTTGTTAGATTGTTAATTTTTATAGATTCGTTTTCCATAATAACAAATTATCTGTACACTGCCTGTACACTATAAATTTAAATTTAACACAACTAAATAAGTTTTCTGCACTTCACACGATCTACGCACTTACTACGCAAACTTCATGATTTAGTCCAGATATTTTACTTAAAGTACTCAAAGCTGATACAGGCAATAATTCAATGTTGTTAAATACTGCAAAACTTCTAAGGTCCAACCAATTCAAGTCATTTAATAAATTTTCTTCAATATTAATTAAATCTTCTCCACAAAAGTGATTATTTATTATTTTTTTTTACAAAAATGTTGACATTTTTTTTATAAATTTAATACATACTCATCATTTCTTTTTTTCTCAATTTCTTTTTTAAAGCAGCTATCATATTCCTTGTAAATAATTTATAGTTTTAGTTTGTAGATAAATTGACACCAGAGTAGTTGCTGCATAAATATCAAGCAATAAATTAGATATATATATAATTTTAAATCTTGATCAATTACTAATCAATGATTTAGCAATGAACTTAGATTGTGAATTGAAATTGCAATGACAAACTGTGGTTAAAAATGTTAATAAAGTGGTAAATTTGGGCGTTATCGACTTCTTTATCAATTCAACCATGTTCAGTTGTAAATCCATAACTGAAGATAAAGCCTTGTCTTTACTCCACCACCTAGTTGCACCGATTTTTTGGAGTCTATACAGTTTATCGTGACCAGTATGGTTATACAGATATTATAGATGTATAGTAGGTTTTGTAAATTAATACATAATACATTTTTTCTATGTAATATTTGTATGATTGCTGAATCCAACAGTGGGGCACCGGGGCCCCCGCAGACTGCAGGGTCGGGCAAGCGGGGTCCTCGTGGTCTCGTCCAAAATAAAGATAAAACCTAAGTTAACTTGCAGTAGCGCAATTAATCCAAAAAAACTTCCTTTAACTTGTGCAAAGCCTAACCTAACCTATGGGAAAGCATATGATTATTCAATAAATTTTCAATTTCCTGGGCCCCTAAAGAAAAATTGCTCCTATAACAGCTGAATATTTCGATAAATACATTACGGGGGGACTCCCCCGGTCCCTATTCCCTATAAACCCAATAAGAATAAAATTAACGACTCTAAAAAAAAAAAAACGGAGGGGCCCAGCGGCCGACACTGCTAGCAATACTATTATTACTAACTCATGATAAATTGTAAAATGGTAGATTTAAAGGAAGTCAATATCATTTAAACCAACCACTTAGATATTGAACAATCATGTATGTGTTTAAAATGATTATGATTATGTTTGTGATAAATTTTTTAATCAAATCCAAAAATATTATTCCAGCAAATTGTGTTGAAAAAAGAGTATCAATTTTTGATGACATTGATGATGACCATGATACAGTATACAATCAAGACACTGACAAAGAAAATTAATCAAATAAATTCTATTCAAATTTGATAAGTGCTATTGAGGTTCGTCGTCCATAGTATGGCCACAGGCTGTCGTTATCAAATCCGGGTCAATCATAACCAAACTGTGGAATGAAATTTATGTTGAACTACAAGGTGATAATATACACATTAATTTGAATTTACCTGTATAAAAACTAAATAAATATACTTAAACATTCACATATTATTATACACCTGTAACATAGGACATAAAACAAATAAACAATGTATACATAAGGATTAACATATAAATATTTTTTATTATAGGTCAGATAAGTATTGATGAATTGAAAAAAAAAATGGAGATATTTGAGAGAAAGGTTTGTTCAGGAAAGGCAAAAACCAAAAGGTGGAGCTAAAGAAGGTATTAAAAAAAATTGGATACATTACATTCAACTGTCGTTCTTGGAAGATGTTGTAACACATGACCAAAAGTAAGAATCCTATTTAGCTTATAATACTTATACATAATTATTAAAATACTTAACTTTAAATCCAAATATTTATAGGACTACTAGTAATTTAGAAAACGATGATACCATTGATTCTTCTCAGTGTTTAATTACTACCAAAGAACAAAAAAGAAAATCAAGTGGATAATTTAAAATTGTGTGTCTTATATATAATATATATATTATAATATATTATATCAAGCTAAGTACATAATACTTGTGCTTGGGTTAGAATTTATAATATCGATTTAATTTGATATCAAATGCATTAATTTAGGTAAAATGATTTCTTAAATATGACAACGACTTCCATAGAGACTTACTTAATGAGTTAAAAATGACGAGACCTACATTACCAGAACTAAATGAAGGTGATCCACATGATCCTGATGTGGAGTTTAGGAAATACTTAGTATAACTTATAGTTATGAAAGAAGCAGGGGCGTATACAAGGGGGGTGTGGGGGTCAGATCCCCCCATATAACTTTTAAAGAATTGTATAAAATAGTGTTTTTAGTGTTAGCCGTTAGGGCATTCCAAGATCACAAGGAAACAAAAAAAAAGCTAGGATTTTTGTAAATTTTTATTTCATAAATATAATTATTACAAGAATAGACTTTGTCTGTTCAGCCGTGCCACCGCCACCGCCGCCGATAACAACGCTGCGACGAAGACGCCCGCATGGTCGTGTGGCTAATAATACATTTTCCTACTTCTGGAAATGTTTTAAGAAATTATTATTATATAATGCACGGATGGGTTTTACGTATTTACACTACAATATTATCAATTTTGTATTAAAATCGACATTCCGTGAGTTGTACCTCGTATGTTGTTCCGTACCTACTTAACTAAATATTGTCTTTAAAATTTGAATAGATTTGATTAGAGCGACTAAACGGCCTTACTTTAATGGCTGTGCATAGGAATATTCCTATCAGTACCAAAGAGGTAATTGATGAATTAGACAAAAAAAAAAGAAAATTAAATTTTTTACTATAATTTTGAACTGTTTGTAGTTTGTAAATAAAATATATTAAATATATATGTTTTGTTATTTATTATTTGAATGCACAAATATTAGGTAACAGTAACTATACTCGGGCCACCGAGAGACCGCTACTGGGCGGCGACCAAAATTCGTCCATTCTCGCGCATTCCCACCACCAAACCTCCCGGTTTTGCAGGCCGCCGTCACAGTTACCGCCGCCGCCGCCAATGTCGTGACCGTCACCGCCAAATCGTAGCGGCGAATAGGTAGTAGAGTATAGGGTTAAATTTTTTTTTCTTATCCCCCTTCCCCCCCACCCCATAAAAAAATGATATATACGCCACTGGAAAGAAGTACCCAAAAATAAAAGGAAAAAATTACAATGTCAAATCATTTCAACAGTTATTAATGCTCAAGATTCAGAGTAACATAAGTGACATCATTCACACTTTTTAGTTCCTGCAAGATCATAATAATCATATTAATAATTAATCTTATCAGAAGGTTTTGAGTTTTGTTTGATTGATAATTTGAATTTGTAGAATATGAACTAATTCTTAAATAAAAAAAATATTATACACTGAAAAAAATTCTAATAGTAACATTGACAAACATGTTTTGTAGATGATCAACAAATCTAACATTTATTACGCTGACAATATTTGTATCATAATGATAAAAAATTGTTAGTTTAATAAAAATTTTGTTATATACTGTAATTGTTTATTTTATCAATTTGACAATTAATTGTCATATTGATAAATCTTATTATATTCACCCAACAATATGCATTTATCATTTGTAATATAAATTTTTTTAAATCAATAATTATTTTGTCATTCCAACAACGAAATGTACTTGAATGATAAAATCGTGTTGTCAAATATATTTATAAGTTAACAAATTAGTTTTTTCATTCCAACAAAAACTTTATTAACTTTATGAGTTATTATACTTATTAAAGATCTACATTTGTCTGTGTTCGCTATACATACCTATTATGAGAATTGTATTTATATAATACTCTACATTGATATTTGAATATATTTTTTACGTATTCTTATTAGATGGTTTATAGTATTTTTTTATTTATATACAATTTAACATTCAGTGATTAATATATGTGTTTCTGTGTTGGATGCTGGTTAAAATAGGTAATGATATCTACCTAAGATTTGGTGTGATACATTTAAATAAGAACGTTTATAATTCATATTATGTAATCAGGTCATAGTCAATTTGTAGTTTATAATGAATTATAAAAGGAGGTAAGTTTGTATTAATTATTTTATTACGTATATAAAATATTAATTGAAAATAAATGCACTTATGCGGTTTTGATCGTATATTTTTCGCAGAAGTTACGTGCTCCTATAAGTGAGCGCTTAATGTTTTCTTAAAATTAGGCCTAGTACGGAATTCGCCAAGATGTTGGAGATAAAAGATAATTGGGAAATATATAATATCTTCTCTGAAAATCATGAGCAAGGGAAAATCACAATTATCGTTGGCTCTCATTGGGTCTATACTAAATTTCTACCAAAACGAACAACAACCAAATGAAAAATACGACGAGAACATTCGATAAAAATTATTCTGTAACGCATTTCACTCTTGGAGTTCAAGTGTTCAACTGTCGACTTAGCGTCTTAACACAGTGTTCGAGATATTCAGATATATACTGTTATAACTAAACATAATTTTGACTATCGTTTGTCATAATATTGTGTAATAATAATATTTATTACCTATATCGTCTTACTTGCAAGTAAAATAAGGTAAGTTATGATTTTGTACATTAATTACCTACTTAGGATATAAGCAGTGACAAAGTTAAGATTTTGTTCTAGTGGAGGGGGAGTTTGTATAAACGTCAGATGGAGCTTTTCCATCCCCTTCCCACCACCTAGAAGTAGGTACCATAAACCTATTTTCTTTTAAATACACTTAACACATATTATTACTGCAGTAAAATAATGTATAATAATATGGTACATTGTAAACACATTATTTAACTACACATGTTTTTAATCTATAGATTATATGAAACCCAAACACCCACTCATACAAT